AAGATTTCTTGTTTTCCTTGTATCAATACCGTTGAGAGTAAATAAAATATTAACCACAGCAAAGCTTCTCAAGAGCCAAATTCTCGTCTCCACCTACGCTCTCCAACGCACTCCTTACTGAAGCTTCCGGAAAACCCATCTCCAGAAGCTTTTGGACCTGTTCAAAAACATTATTGTATCTTGTTTAAAATAACAATACACAAGATAATGAGTTAAAAAAAAAAAAAACAATTTTCAGTTTCCAACTTGATAGCTGAGATCCCTTTAGTTCTACAGATGTGTGTATTTCTCACTATAAGCTGATAATTTCCTTTTTCATTTTTTCCTTTCCGGTTGAGTGATTGGGTATGTTTTCCATGTACATTTGGAGCTCGTGTTAATATGAGTATTTATAAAAACTATCCTTGATGTTGAACCTATATATAGATCAAACTCAGACAGCCAGTTATACTACAAAATGTTTTCTGTTATACGAAATTAAAACTTCAAAGGGGAGCAGGATAAATAAAAACATCCAGTGAAGTACAGATAAATAATAGCTGAAAAATTCTTTTGAAATTTTACACATAATTCAGAGATTTTTGTAATGACTTTGAACTCGGCAACAAAAATACATTTTCTCTTTGTTTTTCTATAAAAACTTGCTAACCTTTTCCTCAACACCAATAGATGAAGTCATGGCAAATGATTCAGTCCAGTAACGAGCTGTGCGAACGAAAGTAGGGTGCTCTTTTAGATACTGCAAAATAAAACAATTAATCAAGAACGTGGATTATAAGAAAAACGGATGACACAGAAGTAAATGCATGACAAAAGGGAAGAACGTCACTTGCACGCTTATCATAAAGAACACTCATCTATTGAACTAAAAGGTTTCGAATCAGGTGCACCATGTAGAAACACATATCAAAGGAATTTTGAATTTGAAACAAATTACACCAGAACTTTGAAACATGATGGATTTTTCTTTCCCCACCCAAAGAAGCTTTCCTTTTTGTACTGTTACCATCTCAACTGTGCATTTTAGCTATGTCATGTTAATCATGCATGGGCATCACATATAATAAACAAACAGCAGATATGTATGATTTCTGATTGACCAGGAAGGAATAAAAACAATGATCCAGTCGGTAAAAAGAAACAATAACAAACTAAGAAAAGAAAAAGGATTTTAGAGGCCAACGTACAACAATCCCAGTGGTTTATATGTAATTTGCTTTTTATTCATAGAACTACATATGCTACAAGCCTCAAGAGTGGTAGTTGTAATTATCCCAAATCTTAACAGAAATTCCCAAGGCAAAGGCAAGGGCAAAAAAGTTCAAATATCACAAAAAAAGGAAACATAACAGAAATTCCCAAGGCAAAGGGCAAAAAAGTTCAAGTACGCAATATCAGCACCTGTCGAGCTACAACAGCATCCTGGGGGTCACCGGGTTCGGGCGCAGATAGCAAAGCTTGAATAGAAAGAAGGGCCGTTTTCAAAGTCAGCGCCGGGCTCCACTGATCTTTCAGGATGTCCAGGCATATGGCCCCACTTTGACTGCTAATATTCGGATGCCTTTTTTGACAGGAAATAGCATGTGCAGAGTCACAAGTGAAAGTGTTGAATAAATTTTCAAAGCCAATATCAAAAGCTTCATGGGTTGTCAATCAATGAAGATATTAACAATTTCAAGAAGGTAATTTTTCTTTTTTAATTTTTTATTACAACGCCATGTGGTGTCTTGGTGTAGGACTGATTCCAAAACTCAGACACATCAAAAGACCAATAATGACCCCGGAAATTTGCAGGCAACAAAAAAATATTTTCCTTTCTACAGAAGTGTAAGTAGGTAACTACAGGATGCAGTTGACGAACTTTTCAGAAAATTCAAATGGCCCTTCACGTTTTATATAGATCTTATGTTCCCTGAGTAAGCGCAGAGTAATCAAACATCACTGACTACAACACGTGCCATGCAGGGGGAAAAAAGATGAGAGTACAAAATGATTCATTTTCCCCATACCAGACTTTAGTGGCAAACTGCATTTTGGGAGGCTCGAAAGGGTAACCATCTGCAGCAAGAAAAAAGGAATATCTGATTGCAAATGATTTGAAGGACTAATGTGCTTCTACAAAACAGTTGACAGCGTGAGATAGAAACACACATAATTCCCCATATGTTGGACTAAAAGAGTACCATAACGACATGTTGTCAATTTTCTGTTATTAATTTTTATTTATTTATTTATTTTTTTCCACTTCACTCACTCTCTTTATAATCTATGGTTAGAAAAACAAGAAACATCAGCTGCAAACCTACACAGGTACAACCAAAATATTAAGACTTCTTGCTATACATGTCTTAAAAGGGAGCTAATCACAATACTTGGATTTAGCAGCATTGGCTGTATTCATCTTCCTAAAACTATTGAGTTATTACTATTCCGGCCTCTACAAAGGAAGGCCAACCTCAACCTGGGTCCCAAGCTTTCTCCTCTCTAACAGAAAACCAACATTTTCCATCTGTTTCGACAAGATTTCATCATCTTATAGAAGTATTCTTCTTATAAACCAAACCATAGTTTATGGTAGAGTAGTTTTCGCTTTCCTTATCAAGTTTGTGTTTAATGCTTCTCAACAAAACAAATCCAAGAAGACACAAACTCCTTTATTGGTGGTTAAGATATCAAGCAAAACACATGAATTTTCTGTCCAAAAACAGCAAGACGGATTATCACTTCTCATGCACTAATCTAAGGTAATTTCTTGAGTGCATTCCCTATTGGAAGCTGATAAATAAATTTAACCATATAGAACTTACACATTAAAATTACTAATCCTTAAAAGAAGAAAACTAGAAGGACATGATCAGATGAAGAATTACAGGAATAGAATCCAGCATAACAGCACAAAACAAAAAAACATTTGGACAATGAGCCATATCGATTTCTACGCTAAAAAGAGTCGAGAAGAAAAAAAAAATAGCTTAACACCAGACGAAGACCAGAAGAATCATCCTACAACCCTATCAATAGAGCCATCAATTGTAATTACATCAATCAATCCTCAAATTAAAACCACATTTCGAATTATTATCGGACCAAACACGTCGAGTTTGCACAGTAGAAATATCAACACATGCCGCGAACATCTTCACTTTCCAAATTACAATCATATAGTCATGTCATGAATAAAACCTTCATGTATAGCTAATGGACCTTAGAACAAAACCCTTATAATTGGTCAGTCCAAAAAGATGGATAGAAACACACCCAACAAAAGCTCAGCCATAAACCATACACAACGAATACAAACAACAGAAACAAAATTCTAGTTCCACATTACTGACGCCCAAAAACCGAAAAGAAAAAAATCTACAAATTTTTAAAAAAAAAAAAATGAAAGAGCAGCGATTACCTGGTAAAATGATATCGATCTTGAAGGTGCCGCCTTCATAAGGAGTACCAAGGGGACCAGGGATTGTACCAAGCAAGTGAACAAGATTACTCTCACTCTTGGGAATGACTTTTATCCCCGACACTTCAAAATCTCGGTTGCACTCTTGCAGCTCCTTCTGTACCCTAGCAAAATCCACCATTTTTCGGATTCTTTCTTTGTTTTCTCGGTACCAAATTTCAAAATTGATTGTAATTTGGGAGTTTCAGGGGAAGGGTATTTTTCTTGGTTTGCAATTGCAAGTTTTTATCACCTTTTTCTCTCTTCCTCGGTAGAGAAAGAAGTCCCCAAGTTGCAAAAGTTGCTTTGTGAGCATTATAAAGCATTTTTTTTTTTTCGATAATTCAGAATTTGATATGCCATTCACTTTCAGTAGAGATGGCCAAACCCGGTTCGGGTCGGTATTCAATTTTTTGTTGAATTGGAACCGGTCCGTACAAAGGATATATTTGCAGTTGTTAATTATTATGGATGAAAAGCAAAAGAAAGGAATGGAAGTTGATCCAGTATGTAGAGTTTGTTGGCTAGCTGAGAAATCTATAGAACTCTATCATGTTACAGCCCGACATCGAAGGCCCACTTCTATTTTTCTGTTCCAAAGCTAAACTTATTTGGAAGCTTGCCCCTGTCAGCTAGAATGGCCTTCAACAGTTAGATAATTTTAAGGATTGATGGTGGGAAACTTCAAGTTTAAAACATAATCATACTTCTCAAGCCCATATCCTGTTATCCACATATATTTTTATGGTGGCTTTGGAAGTCAAGGAACATTTGGGTTTTTGAAGGTTCAAATAGGCCGGCTCATCTCATTGTGGAAGTTGTTGTTAAAGATTGGGGAGAATTTGCAGAGGTCAGCCGGTCTTCATCACCAGGAAGAGGAGGACAATAGAAGGGAAGGTCTAGGATTATGAGAATCAGTGGAAATCCTGACACTGCACTCTTCTTTCTTTATGTATTTTTGCTTATTCTTGCTCTATTATTTGTGAGTGATGCAAGTTACGGTGGATATTATGTATTCGCTGCTTGAATCCCATATTTTTAATATCTGTAGTATTTATCTAGACCACCAAAGAGTGGTTCTCTCTTTTTTCGGCCTTTGTATTCAGACTTTGTATTTAGACTTTGTATTTAGACTCTGATGTCTTATTTATCGAATGAGTATATCTATTGTTTGGAAAAAAAAAGGAGCATGAAATAATAAAAAAAAAAAACATCAAGCAATAAGGACTGATTGGTAAGGAGTTAAAAAGTTAAAACTACTCAAAATCAATTCTAATTGGATTATTTTTTTCTTACTCATTAACTCAATATCAACTCGCTATTCTCAATATTATCCATTAAATACACGTCGCTGAGTGAGTCTGGAGGTGAGATTTGAAATGGAATTTTGTATAAGGTTTTTTCTTTAGAAATCCTACAAAATCTTAAAAAGTCTTATAAAATCCTAGTCTCAAATAAGTTAAATACTTTATAATTTTGTAAGACTTTATAAAATCTCAAATGAATTACCCAAAGACTTTTTTTTTTCTTTTTTTTTTCAAGAACGATAGGCAACTCAATATAATCAGATGAAAAGGTTCGAGTACAATCAACAACCTAAACCGAAGGCTAAAACCAGAGAGCACTACTAAACATAGTAGGCTAAATACAACTGAACAATCAACACCAAAGGCAGAGAGAAACTCTGAGCCCTTCAGTGGTCACTAACAAGAACAAGAAACAAAGAAGACAGAACAAAATAAAAGAAATAGAGGACCTCAACCACTGAACTGAAAACCAGACCTAGCTAAGTTCTCCATCTCTGAGAAGCTCTTTTCTTGCTCAGAACTGCTGCCTCTTGCCATTCTTCCCAAGCTCCAGCTATGATACTCTTCTCCCTCCTCCAAACTTTCTCAAACATCCAAAGGTTACGGGATTTTCAGAGCCACCACAGGATGTATGTGGTGAGCTCTATTCTGTCTTCTCAATTGCAGCATGTCTAATGGAACATAAGGAGTCCCACCAGTCCTTGAAAGAGCAGCATTCCCTTTGAATTCCATCCCAAGTTACTTGGGCCAGCTTCCAGACTTTTTGAGCTCTTGGGAAATCCAATAAGACATGCTCAGTAGTTTCTACTGCCTCCCCACAGCTATAGCAAATGACATCCACCTGCATCCTTTTGCTTTTCAGATTGGAATTGACTGGCAAAGTACCAGTAATACACCTCCATAGGAAGTGTTTAATTTGGCCTTTGATGTGGAGGTTCCATGTTCTCTGCCTTATACTTTGGTTCCTCATAGATGTACTGCTTCCTTCAGGAAGGTCAAGGCTAAGAAACTTCTTCAGGTAAAGAGAAGCATAAGAAGAAGCTACTGAGAATTTCCCCTTATTGCACAACTTCCAGACCCATTTATCCTCCACCAGGGGGTCCAGTGTTTGGATCTTTAGTATTTCATTGCTGTCATTAGCATCAAACATGTCTCTGATCACTTGCTCATCCCAATTGCCAGTTTCAGGGTCTAAAAGATTTTTAACCCATAATTTTCCATGATCATTGGCATTTTTGAGTTTTGGGCTCCTACCATTAATGTCTGGGATCCAATTGAAGTCCTGAAGTCTGACAGCCTCCCCATTCTTGATCACTATCTACAGTCCCTCTTGGAGGAGCCCTCTCACTTTTCACAAAGATTTCCAGATCCAGGAAGAGCTAGGCTTTAATTCAGCTTCAAACAGAGATGTGTTGGGAAAATACCTGCTCTTAATTATCTTACTCATAAGGAGATGAGGTTGAGTGAGGATCCTCCAGAGCTGCTTGACTAGCATTGCCTCGTTTAAGATGTTGATATCCTTGAAGCCTAAGCCTCCATGTTTCTTAGAGAGTGTGAGCAGTTCCCACCTTTTCCAATGAAGACCCTTGGTGTGCTCTACACCTTTGCTCCACCAGAAAGTTGCAAAAAGATTGGCAACTTCCATGCAGATGCTTAAGGGTAGTCTGAAGCAAGACATTACAAATAATGGAAGAGCTGTGAGGACAGACTTAATGAGGACCTCTCTACCAGCAGTAGAGAGGTATTTGTTATGCCAGCTATTTAATCTGCTTTTGACAGCTCCAGTCACAAATCCAAAAACCTCTCTCTTGGCTTGCCCTATGCCCAGTGGCAACCCTAAATATTTAGAGGATTTTTGCACTTGAATTCCTTGGAAGACTTGTCAAACTTCCTGTTGGATGGCTGAATTGGTGTTTTTACTGAAGAAAACTGAGTATTTGTTGACATTCACCTTTTGACCAGAAAATTTTTGATATCTGAGGAGAATGGATTGTAATATGTGTGCCTGGTATCTGTCAGCCTTGCAGAAGATCAATGAGTCATCCGCAAAGGGGATATGAGTGAGGATGGGACCACCTGAAGCCAGAGAAATTCCTCTAAAAAGCCCTCTCTCTCTCAGCAATTATCACAGTAGAAAGAACTTCAGAGACAATTAGGAAAAGGTAAGGAGACAATGGGTCTCCTTGCCTGATTCCCCTTTTAGCAGAGATATATCCACTTGTGCAGCCATTTATAATGAAAGAGTAAGTGACAGTGGTAACACATTCCATAACCCATCTCACAAACTGAGTGGCAAAGCCCATTTTGAGCATGGTAAGTCAGATGCAGTTCCATTCTATCCTGTCAAAGGCCTTCATCATGTCTAGTTTGATGGCCATAAATGCATGCTTGCCTGTTCTGTGTATGTTTAAGAAGTGTAGTCCTTCATTAGCAATCAAGACATTATCACTTAGGAGTCTGCCTGGGAGGAAGGCTGATTGAGCTTCATTTATGCACCCTTGGACACAGCTCCTTAGTCTACTAGCAAGCAGTTTTGAAATGAGTTTGTAGACTACTGCACACAAGCTAATTGGTCTAAATTGACCAAGGTTTTCAGAAGCAGCACATTTGGGGACAAGAGCAATCAATGTGTGGTTCTAGTATTTGAGCAGCTTACCTGATTGAAAGAAACTGAGAACTGCTGAGCATATGTCATCCTTAAGCAGTGGCCAGAAGTGCTGAAAGAACAAGGCTGCCATTCCATTAGTACCAGGTGATTTGCTAGGATTCATTGAGAATAATGAGTGCTTAATTCCAGCTCTTCCACAGGGGCTAGTAACTGATTGTTTATCTCCACTGAAATTGTTTGGGGCACATGTTGAAGCAGACATTGTCCTCCATGGGAGCCCTCTGATGTAAAGAGGTTGCTATAGAAGTCCTCTACATGGATTTCCATTTCCTCTTTGGTAGCACAGATTTTCTGTTGATCGGTGACTAATCTGCTTATGGCATTGTGTTTTCTTCTCTGCACTACCCAAGCATGGAAGAAATGGGTATTTTGATCCCCCTCCTTTATCCACTGTGTTCTGGCTTTTTGTTTCCAGAAAAGCTCCTCAGATTGATTGGCTTTATCCATTTCCAGTTGCATTTTGTCCCATTCCTCTTGGTTTCTACTACCTTCTTCCTCCCTCATTGCTTCCAGCTTCATAGATAGAGTTGCCAGCTGAGCCATTTGTGTTGATCTGAAATATTTGCTCCACTGTAACAGAGCAATCCTTGTTTTCTTGATTTTCTCTTTGAGACTGAAAAGAGGAGTGCCCCCTGATGATCATCCCAGGCTCTTTGGATTACCTCATAAATGCCTTCTCTGTCAAGCCATCTTTTATCAAATTGGAATCTCCTTGGATATGGAGTTTTATCAGGTTCAGTTTTAAGAAGGAGCATGTAATGATAAGATGAACTCTTGAAGATAGATGTGGTTTGAGTCTGAGGCATAAGTCTGAGCCAGTCAAGAGAAGCAAACCCTTTGTCTAGACTTTCTTCTACAAATCCTTCTCCTGCTCTATTATTTCCCCAAGTGAAGGGATGACCCTTATGAATGAGTTCAGCCATTCCCATGTGTGATATAAAGGTTTGAAAACCCAGATAGTTGCTGAAAGATCTTGATCTGCCTCCTTTCTTGTCTTCTGGTTTAAAGAGATCGTTTCAATCTCCAATAATGCACCAGCAATCTCCCCATAAAGTCTTTTTGAGTTCCAATTCCCTTCATTGGCCTTCTCTTGCAACTCTTTCAGTGCTCATATAGACAAACACTGCCCATCTAAATTCCTCAGTGCTCTGTAATCTGAATTCAACT